TTTGATTAATTTTGTATATCACTGAACATTGAGTCAGACGTATTTTACATGGTATTGTGACTGGCAAAAATTGGAAGTGAATCGAAGAGTCGATTAAATCATACGGTAAACGATATGGTTTAAGTATGGATTCCGTCACACTTCGATAATTTATGTAACTTAAAAGACGTAACTGACATGTCATTGTTATACATCGAAATTCAAAAGAACGGTGAACGCAATGAGACACTGAACGAGAAGGTTGTGAATGACATCTGTATTTCATCACACTTCGATTAATTTTGTATATCACTGAGCATTGAGTCGGACGTATTTTACATGGCATTGTGACTGACAGAAATTGAAAATGAATCGAAGAGTCAATGCAATCACAGGGTAAATGAGATGGTTTAAGAATGAATTTCGTCGTTCTTCGACAAATTATATATCTTATAAGACGTAACTGACATGTCATTGTCATAAACTGAAAGTCAAGTGAGTACTAAAGATTCCGTCGCACTTCGAGAAATATCGTAATCAGGAAAAATAAATAATGTTTAATAAACTGAGGAAATCACACAACGACGTCCGGATTGTGAAAATAATATGAAAATATCACATGAACTTTATTTAAAATTCGAAAATTGTATGCACACGTGCGAGAAATTATAAACGCAAGATTGAACTACGTCTAAATTAAATGCTACGAGCCAACTCAAAATTGAACTACATCTAAATTAAATGCTACGAGCCGCCATACTATAAATTTAAAAACGCTATCATTTACAAAAACATCTACAAACATCCCCGCGTCCCATGAGAACCAAACCCGTATAAGGCATTCATTGACGATCTGAAAGCAAGAGTTTGTGGTTGTTCCTTCGTCGCCATGTTCGAGACTACCGAAATGTATTTCGTCCTTACAAACCTACCAACACTTGCCAAAGACTTACGGATGGCATCACACACGCAACATGTTACTTGCTTTACCTCATGCCACTTGTCAACCTCATGAATTTAACTGACAATCTCCAAATCGGACTCTCCGTTCTCGTAGAGAAGACGCAAACTGCCCATATTGCGACCATTGATTTTAAACTCGTTGCAAGAAACAAGCACTACAGCGTCTACCAAAGTTCGCTTTCGGTTCGAACATGCCACACACAACACTTCGCAGAGGTCGGAACCGGCCAAAGACAACCGTACACAACAGTAAGACACATCCCGTGATCGTGTTCCGGCAACATGCAGCGGATATAGTTAAAAAAACGGATTGTAGGACGCACAGTCCAACAACTCTTGTTTCAAGTCCGCAGACCACACGGGAGGTGACCTCGTAACATTCTCTAGGCGAAGGTAAAACTGTTTATTCTCTTTATGTCTGAGTGTGGCGCGCAGGGACATAAGTTGCCTGACGCCGATGGCATAATGAGGTACTTTGATTAGACCCTTCACTCCATCGCGGAAGCAAACTTGTACTCCTTATGCCATTGACATTTTCTTGTCAAAATTGCTCTAACCCATTTTGCCTCGGACCAGGCATCGAGAGGTTTGTCCAAGAAGAGGACGACACTCATCCATGGGTCCTTTTCGAACTCTGTTGTCATTTGCCCGATAATTTTTCTATCGTCGTCCGTACCACGCAATCCGCATGCGAAAGGGCGAATGGGATACGAATAATCATGCTAATCGGCCATTACTCCTGTCGCACTCCCTACACAAGACGTGCCACGCAGAAAAATCACCTCCACGATTAACTTCCAAAATTTTTTAACCAACCATCTTACAAAAATCAATTCTAGACCGTTGACAAAATCCGTCATCTTGTCTTATCAAAGAATCGTCGCAATTCAACCATTGGTTCCCCCGCCGCCGAAAACCCCTAGTCCCTATGAGTTAGGGCCGGGTTATACGGAGGGGCGGCAACCATACGGAGGCGCCGGGTTGTACGGAGGGGTCGATGGGTCCAATCCCGCCATTTTGCAAGCGACAACTTTTTCAATTTTTTGTGCTCAGAAAAATTCACCAAAATGTTTGAAAATTTGAGGGTCCATAGATTAGATCGTGATCTTTCAGGGAAAAATATCAGAAAAACAAAATTAATTTTCACCATGAAATATTCGCCGCGCCGATTCGGTTTATTTCAAATTATTTTCGCAAATTTCATTTTTGAGGCCCGCCCAGTTTTCCACACTGTACTACCGGTACCCGTCGTGAAACGGCGCTACCGGTACCTTTGAGGTTTTCTGACGTTAGGAGGACCGGTGGTTTCAGTAAATTCAAAAAGAATATGCTCCCTTCCAAATTCTCGCCTGAACAGTCGTTTTCAAATATCCTACTCGCTCACCTATTGGGTGGACTGACAAAACCTATGACGTGCACTCATCGCTTTTGTCCCCTGCATTGACACTCCCTTCAGCAGATGGACTCAAATCTCGAAGTGCAGCTTCAGCATTCCGTCGATCATTGGAAGGAATCACAAGTACAGTCATGAACGGTTTTGTACCTCTAGTCGGTCTCTCCCAACCAAAAGCGATCGAGTCGGCATGTTGCCATTGTGTCTGGTCAGTCATTTTTCATATTTTCTCCCATGCATTATCATACAGTTCTTGGAGTGACTTTTGCTCTCCCGGTCGGTACCAGTATTCCACTAACACTTGATTATAATTCTGCATTTTTTTTCACCAACCACCCGAGAAAAAGCTTTGCCCACCCAGAGAGGCCGCCAATGGACAAATCGTTGTCGGAGGGGCGAAGGATAAGAAAAATGTTCATGTCAACATGCACGAGGAAGTCAAAACTGGTCTTCGGGTAATCTTTTCTTCGTCCAACAAATAGGGGTTCTCTGTCGTCGATGTTGGCACTGCCAGGAGAAGTTTGTCAATCGCTTTCGAGCAGTCGTGGTTTTGACCAAAAACTTTTCAGAGGTTGTGAGGATAACCCGTTGGCGATGATCTCGTTGCCATGTTTGATAACCTCCTCCTAGTAACACAAAGCTCGTTCTCTCCTACTCACCTCATAGTCGTTGTAAGTGCACCACGTTGACCGTCTGCTCTCTAGCAACTCGCGGAATCGAATAACACCATTTTTTTCATTATAATAGTCATTTTGAGGAAGAGGTTGCACCGGAGGCGGGTCAAATGGTCACGGAGGACCTACGTAGCTTTCATCGGGGTTTTGATTGAACCAATAAATCGAACCTTCCTCAGGCAACTAGTTGTCGTCATCGCAAAACTCCTTGTACAACATGCCCGTATTATCTCTAACCATAAAACATTTGAGCAAGTGCGGTTTCAAAATACCAGTAATGTCTGACGCAACGCATGGGTCTACTATACTTATCCAATTTGCCAGTGTATCGAGGAAAATACATTTGGGAGGCTTTTTGTCAGATTGCTCTATGAGCTCGTAGAACTCGTCCATAGTGTAAGTGTCTATGTCTTTCAATTTCTTCGAGAAGACGCGGAAAGTAGCGTCAATGTCTGTATGGGTATGTCCCACCAGCATGAAACCTATTTTTACCTCTTGGAAAACTTTGAACTTAACAAAGAGTGCAGCTAGGGCACATATATACTCGTTCTTGTTTTCCCGCCAACAATTATCTGCTTGAATGTGTAAGAACGGTGACAGTGGCATCCCACTCGCTTCAATTTCGACGAGGGTTCTCATAAGACAAGTAGCGTTTGTGTTAGAATCGTGTTTGAAATACGAAAACCATGTGTAGACATAAATATTAGGGTTTCTACCGTGTGCAATGACACCTATCAGATTTGTCTTCATCATCATCTCGTGCCTAAGTGCTTTCGAGTAGTTCGCCTGACCAATATGAGGGATAGTCGTCTTCTTCTGATCCATGTCGTTAATGATGAGACACAAACGTTCATTCGGACGGACCATCGAATCAGTCTTCGCTCGATTATAGTCCAGTCTATGTTCAACTTGGCGCCTTTGGTGAGCTTTCATCTCCCCCTGAGCTCGTTATCGATCTCGAGGAAGAGCAACATATTGTATATGTTCTTTTAGTTCATGACAGGTGGCACACTTTGTGAATGTGTTTGAGTGTGCTAGTGAAACGTGAAAAAATTATTTCTGCGATAATTTATAAAAGTTAGACTCAGACACGACTTCGAGGTCGACAACCACAAAGTCTGATTTGATGGACTCATAAATTGAACGCTTCGTAAAAGCAGCTGGCAGTCGAAGTTTCGGTCTATAAACCCCATCTTGATGAGCCACCTCATTCGGCATGCTATCCGCATGACAGTCTATGAATGTTTTCATGTTGGCAAGCATGGCGACCGTCTTATTTTTTGGCTGTTGTGTACCCGTCAGCCCGTGCTCGCAACACACAAAACCATTGTCCAATCGCTCTTTATAGCTGTAAAACGTATTACAAGAGACACCGAGAACACTGCAGTGTTCCAACTCTACAGGACGGACACGTTTCTGTCCATCTTCATTCAGCGTGAAATCTTTAAGACTTTTCATCCACCACTCCGCTCGCTCTTCAAGACTCTTATTGTACAATCCTTGTCTAACCTTTCAAACTTGACGACTTGTCCATCGTTTTCACAGTCGGGTGACTGTTTGACGAGCTTCAGGACAAGTGTTGGTTGGAACTGATGAACGACTACTACGAGCTCGACACGAGCCTGTCGAAGGGCATGGTGGACTGGAAAGTGCCCCCTCCTTGTGGGGCGCACGGGAGTTCCGGGGGGGGGTCACCAGGCGGTGGAGGGGACGGGGGTGGCAGTCGGGGGATGGCAAAGGAGCCCCGCCTAGTGGGGAGGGCGGGTCTCACAACGACACCACGACAACGAAAGGCAGTGGTGGGGTGGCGGGTTGGGCCGTCGATCGGTATCCGTCTATTGGCCCCGAGTTGGAGCATGCAACGCAGTCCTCCGACCTCCCCACTTCGTCTGCCAGCTCAGCGAGGGAGACGATGGCAGCCTTGGTTGCTCTCGGTAGCCACTCAGGCGAAACATTAAAGTCCGTCGAGAACTACGTCGGTTGAGCTGCCGCCACAGCGGTCGCCCGTGCAAAGCTGGTCGGGGGTGGGGGTGTCGAGCAAGGATCCCGCAATTGGCAGTTGTGCGGTGACGGCCGGGAATGTGTCGCCTGAGGGAGAGCGACAGCCGCTGGGGTTGGAGCTGGAGGGTACAAGTGGAGGGCCCGACGACACGGAGATGACAAAATCCGCCGGGATCCGAACTTCTTCAGGCGGGGGGGGTCGGCCAGGGATTCTCGTGCCGCCGGGAGGGGCAACGTGCGTGGAGACAGAAGGGCGGTCGTCAGGGTTCGACACAGGTTCGGGCGATGGGGCTGAATTGCATGGAAGGGAAGGAGGGGGGGAAATGGAGGAAGGGAAGGAAAGGGAAGAAGGGGAGGAAGAAGAGGAAGAAGGGGAGGAAGGAGAGGAAGGGGGAAAAACAAATTTGATTGAATTGCTTGAAGGAAAGGAGGGTGCCAAAGGGGACATGGATATTGGAGACGACGAAACGGAGGAGACTGAGGACGATGCCGGATTTGGAAAGTCGTCTGACGAGTTCGGTTCGGAGAACATCGTGAGGATGATGTCGACAACGATGCGACGACAATGGAGATGGAGACACAGGTGGTCGGCAGCCTTTCGACAAAATGTGAAGACTATGAGGTTCAACCACTGACGTCTGTCGTCGATCTCCAACACCGGTTCGACGAGGTTTCCGTTGCTGTGAGCCCATCTAAAGCAAGTCGTCGCATAAACATCGAAGAAGTTATCGATGGCATCCTCGGTGACCATCACGTATCCGCGCATTCGTCCACAACGCCTGACGTCGACGACCCTCGCAATGTCAAACCTTCCGCGGCAGCTGCGTTCGCTTTCTCGCCGCCGAACTCTCCGACATTGTCGGCCACCCTCGCTAGCGGAGGGGAAGGCGGCGTCGGGGGACGACAACATGTCACGTCCTCGAGAAAATCTAGGGTCGACACTCAAGCTCTCAACGTGTTGGCTTTGCCAGCGCCAACTTCATCGACGAAGGAGCAGAGAGAAACCGGTTGGTAAGCTGTGAAGAACGCCACACTGTCTGCGCGCCCAGGCTTCCGAGAGCGAGAATGTTGCTTCCGTCGTAGTCCGGATATCGGCGGACTACCGTCCATGCCATACACACAAGCGGTGTCCACACTATCTGTCAATGCGTAGAGTTCCGGATGCCGACATACTACAGCCACCACTCCTTCCAACTACATGTCGTCGGCCTTCCTGTGAGTCAGCCAGGTTGCTGGTCGCGGGCAGAGAAAACTTCAACAAAAACATAACAATCCATCAACGGAAGGATCTATTCTTCTATGAAGTGTGTTTTTATTGAAGTATTCCCTCACAAAAGCCTCCCCGGCTAAGCACCTCGCCAACTCAATGGAATGACGATTTTTTCTCTTCGGAAAGAGTGGTGGTTTAAGTCTATCTGGATGCGCACTTCCTATGTCGATGCGTAATGTGGTTAGTCTCTATGTGCCTGCTGTGGGAAAAAGTCCGCCAAAATCCGAACTTCGGAAAATGTTCGTCTTGCGCTTCTGTTACTTGTTGTGGTTTTCCTTTGTGAAGGGCGAGGGTGTCAAGCTCGAATACGCTAAGTCGTTTTGTTTTCCAGCCACACACACGGACCTCGGTGCTCATGGCCATGCAAAATCCGGGTTCTATAATTGGAGAGGTCCTGCGTTTTTTAGATTATGTGGTTCTCACATTGTCACTTTTGTTGGATTCGTGTTCGGAAACGTGTATTCATTTTCCGTTTTGTCTTTCTTCTGTTGTACAGGGGTAGGGTCATCTCGAATACGGAGGTCCTCGAAATATCTGAAACACATATTGCAGAAAGTCCCCACGTTGACGACAAAATACACGGATGTGTTAAAGGCATCAGGGGTTGATGTCGAGATTGGGAAGGAGCATGCCATTGCCATTGAGGAGTGTCTTTCCCTTCTGCCCCCAGAGAAAGGGACATATCCATGATCTGTGAGTATGGGTCATGCCATATATGAAAAATATTTAGCAATGCGTCGTGAAATGAAGGACAATGCTTAAATCTTCGTTTCTCACTACCCCGCGTGTCCTTTGCTCGATGTTGTGCAGTGCGGGCCACAACACGTGGAAAACACGGGGGAAGATTCGCTGCAGCGACTGCGCCTCGGCTTGCGGGTTTTGGACGACATTACACAAGGCTCGGTGCCACCTCACACTGTTCTCTCTACCCTCGCCGATTGTCAATTATGAATTGCAGCAAAAATATTTCTCACTCTCTTGCATATCGACGACATGGTGAATGATGAGGTGGTCAATTTTTACATGGCGCTATTGGGGTCGACCGCATGTGTGATATATGAAATCCTGTCAGGTCTTCAAGTCTTCGGCTTTAATTCGTTCTTCTTCAGTAAACCGTAACTTCAAGAACACGGTAGGGTGGAAAGGTGGGCTAAAAACGTAAATTTGCTTCAGTATGATACTATCTTTGTTCATGTCCATAAAGATAATGATCACTGGATCCTCCTTTCCTTCAACTTGAGAGATAATGTCCTCGAAATTTTTGATTTTTTTCCTCGCGTTGTAGTTGATTTGAGTTTTTACCTTAGTGCTTTCGAGTTGATTGTACAATATTTGGAACGTCAAACATTACATACGCGGTCAGGTAGGAGTTGGAAGTCGATTGCAACAAATGTTGTGGTAGAAGGAGTTCCAAGACAAGTGGATTGAGCTAGTTGCTAGGTGTTCATGTTAATGTTTGCGACATTGTTGCAACGTTGTGATCAACCACCTTTCAGGTTAAAGATATTCTGCTTATTAGACGACAATTAGCATCATGTATCTTAAGAACGTCATTGTCTTTGATAAATTTTTGATTGACTTAAAAATTTTATTTTGAAAATATTACATTCATTAATGATTATATTTTGTAAATCCTGATATTATTTAACTGTCGTTTCCACAACGACATCGGTTTCTTTTATCGTTTCGAGTTCAAGTTGCCTTTAGCATTCTCACTGCAGTCTGGCGTCACGTGTTGACTTCCGAATCTCTGTCACGTCCCAATCGTCTCTCATGAGACTGAGCAAGTGCGCACTTCGTTCCTTGTTTCAAATTGTTTCAGCTCAACCAAAAATGTACATATGATTGACATCATATAATATCTGTAATTATAGTGCGACATGACAAATTTGTGTGTGGATGCATGACAAATCTCGACGAGTATGTGAGTGTGCGGTTCATTATGCAAAGACCACTAACATCACGTTTCTTGCGTGCGCATAGAATCACATGCCTTGTGACCGTCTGCATGACATGTAACCAACAACTTTACGTTCGTACCCAAACATTTTGCACATGGGCAATTAAAGTGAGGATTCGATTGGAAATAAGCAAATTCGAAGTTCTTGTGTAATACGGTAGGCGTTGTCGCAAAAAACAAACATGTATGTCAAAATTAACTGTTTGTTACAAGACGTAAGGTGAACATCTTTGAGTTGTACTGCGACTACTATTATAACTGTTACATTAGTTGAAGTTGATGACACAAACTACATTATAATATATCCAACAAGTTTACAATGATACATTGTTCAAAGAAAACATGTTCAACAAGGATACAAACATGACACTTTGCTCATCCCAATTGTAAACAAGTATGGATCTCAGCACACTTCCGCATATCGGGTGAGATCGTGGGCATGCCCATCATCACACTAATTATTCTAAAGAAGTCCGGATTTCATCAACATACAAATAACCGTCACGGGCGAGATGATGGGCACGCCTGCACAACTTAGGAATAACCTAAAGAAATGTATTATCCAACAAGGATTCAATCATGACACCTTGCTCATCACATTTATAAACTTGAAGTTTAACAAGTATGAATCTCAACACACTTCTGCAAGGGGTTCCCGGATGAGCGTGCCTATCGTTACACTAAATCTTCTAAAGAAGGAAAGAAGACTTAGTCCAGATCTCATCAAACATCCAAACAACCGTCTCAAGCGAGAGGATGGACATGCATGTACCACTTTTAGGGATAACCTAAAGAATTTATATAATCCAACGAGGATTCAATCATAACACCTTGTTCATCTCATTTATGAAGTTTAGCAAGTACGGATCTCAGCACGATTCCGCACTTAGGATCTCATTTATAAAGTTTAACAAGTATGGATCTCAGCACGCTTCCGCATTTGGTTTAACCCTGGATGGGCGTGCCTACGTTGGTTAGGTTGCAGCCAAAAATGAATTCGTTAGAAAAAAGATACAATTTAATGTCATATTTTAACGAATAACATGTTAATATTTTTGTGTGGGAGTGATCGTACAATGCCACACAACCTCTTTGTCTGAGCGATTAAACACACTTTATTTTTCAATAGTCACTCTGGTCAAGTGAACATACGTATGCATAATTTGCATGATACTCGCAACAATGCATGCGCTTGATTTTGTTATCCGAATTTATTGGTCGGACGTTGGTTCTGAACCTGAAATTTGAGGTCCTTGTCCAAGACATTCCAGGTTTCAGCTTAGCACAAAAGGGTCTTCCCTATGCGTTGAGCATTCGCGCCCTGCTCATTATGACGCTCCGCCTACGGGACAGAGGCGCAGCGAGGGTTGAACGACTTATCCTTCAGCCGAGGACGAAGCTATGACTTTCTTCATGGGATATCTACTCTTGTTTTTTTTTTGCTATCCTATTCTTGTATCAATTACTTTTCAATATCGTGAAGGAAATGTCACTTCATCTCTGATACTTGAGTGTCGTGCACAACGCTGAAACCCGCGAAGGGTCGAGCGATTGTGGTTAATGAGTGAAGCGTCGCCATGACAGCTGACTACTAACTGAATGTTATAATTTATCTCTCGTGTGCGCCCCTCTTAAGCATTTTTGCGCGCAGGCTACCCCTGAGGTCTCACGCGGAATAAGTTATTGGTCAGCGCACTCACAAAAAAAAACTGTACACAAATTAACTATTTTCCAGCACACGGTTGATGTAGTCAACGCGCACATGTGTTTAGCATAGACCGCCTATAAATATTTGCGCATTCACGCTCGTATGAGCTTTTGAAATTTTCTTGTTTTATTTTATTTTGGTGAAACGATAGAGTTCCAAGTAGTAGGGTCAGTGTGTTGTTGGTGGTGCGCTAGACAACTTACCACCACTCCGATTTTCCCTCTACCCTCAGCGCCATCTTACCATATCCCACTTAGGGGCATAGCAGGGTGCAGAAGATGGCGACACACTCGGTTGGCTTTTGCGCTCGCTAAAGGACCGACCCTTTCGCACGCGCGTCAGCCAGCACCTGAGCGTCGAATGTGATCCCATGATTCAAAAGGGACCGCATGTTTATGGGCACTACATAATACTCCATCATCACAACTGCTCGCGTATTCGTGCATGGATAAGCCAATATGACAAAAGCTCAATAACGACCATTTATGCGGAGTCTTGCGCGCAGCGTCTGCACGCTCTAACACGAGAATAGTTACGGGTCGACCACAAAAAGGGACTAAGCGTGATTTACACGTAGACATGAGTCTTTGTTGAGAAGTGTATCGCGAGGTTTGACTGACCGTCCTAGTCAACCGACGTAGGATCACGTTCAAGAGATCAGCGCCCCGGGTGATGGTTCGTGCACGGGTTCGATTCGGGCGTTAACCCCGGGTACCCCCTATGCTACAGCGAACGAGAAATGCCCTGGGTTGTGCTTCCTC